TGACATTATCAAGTAGGCTATATCACCAAATCACACACAGAGTGCACGCACGTTGATTTATTAGTCTATTAAAACTCAAAATTCTAGGCATTCTAAATTGTAGACGGCAAAAATGCTTCTGTATGCTTTTTATATTTATATAATTTAATGTAGTTAACTTAATCTATATCACACAATGAGTACCGTTTTTCTGCAGATATCAGCATGAACACATTTAATAATAGCACCTTTGCTGATGTGCAAACCAGTGGGCGCACAACCGTGGATGATTCATTTTCCACTCAAGTCGAGTCTGGGGTGTGCGATACAGCATCGTCTGCGATAATATGGTAAGTGTTGTTTAATGATGTGCGATCTGACATTATCAAGTAGGCTATATCACCAAATCACACACAGAGTGCACGCACGTTGATTTATTAATGCATCTATGTGAGATACATAAACTGTGTAAATACATCTAAATGCTATTTCAGATGTAGATTCCAGAAATATTTTCTTATGTTGGAATGAAAGACACTAAGTAGGCCTACTGAAGTGCTTCTTATTCTTACCCAAAAATACAAAATGGAAGAAAGAGTTCAAACTGAACACAATCAAGCTGTGTATGAACATTTTATATATATATATTTATTTGCTTCTTTTCCATTTTGCATTTACTTGTACTTTTACTTTTAATACTTAAGTACGTTCAAGATTTTAAAAATACTTTTCGTACTTAAGTACAATAAATATCACATACTTCTACTCAAGTAATATTCTAAACGGTGACTTCAACTTCTACCAAAGTCATTTTCTGGTAAGATATCTGTACTTTTACTTGAGTATGGCTTTCAGGTACTTTATACACCACTGCATAAAACCATGTCTGCATTTGTGATCGGAGAAATGACAAACAACAAGCGCTACTCTCTACACTTCTCAAAACTCACATTTGAATCATCAGTGGCAAATTCTCCTCATATATAAAACACCTGTGATTCACAAATACTTGCTAAGGAACTCGCATTCACATAAAGTAGCCTTGTTGACAAGTTTGGGTGAGTAAGGGCAAAACGCACAAGATGCAGTACTTTCAGTGACCTGTAATAGGCAGTATCACATCTTTTGTAGCAGAAATAAACTGCTGCAGAAAAAGCTAGGTCCATGCAAAATGTAATGTGTAACTGCAACACTCATTTCAAATGTAGTGGAGTAAAGAGTACAGATAATCATTCAATAATGTAGTGAAGTAAAGAGTAAAAGTTGCTAATATCTTTGATACTCAGTACAACTACAAAGTACCCGAAAAGATACTCAAGTACAGTAATTAATTACATTTACTCCAATACTTTACACCTCTGAGTAATGGTGAACTGAACCAGTAACTGAGAGGATACTTAAGTCACAGTTCTGGTTTTGCATATCAGTTTTCACATATGGCCCATTATGAGTAAAAAAAAAAGACAAAATAGTTTTTAGTCATATTCAGTATGTGTTTATGAGGCTTGTTAGTGCTGTTGGAATGCATCTGAAATGTCACTGACATCCTTCAAAATATTGGGATGCTAATTTTTTGGGTAGGATAAAAAAACGGATGTATCTTATGTTTATGATATACTGTCTGTTGTTCAGATTGTTTGGCTTGTACTGTCATTTCTTTTTTGTGACATCATGCAATTAGGCATTGAAAACGAAACACACATTCATCGAACTTTAAACACAACTTTAAAACAATTTATTCAATCATTCGAGAACAAGGTTTCTAAACTATACAGATTCAACTCAACCCTGGAGATGTTGAACATTATTTTACCAATTCCCAGACCACACTCACATTTCACATTAAAGAAGCTTCTGAAACCCTTCAAGCCTGCAAACCTATTTTGGGTCAAGAATATGAATGCCACAAAGCAAACTTTGTGGCAGGAGATAAATATTGGATTAAATATGTGAATTTTAGCAAAGTTACAAAAATGATTTTTCCGTAGGCCTACAATATTTCAGATTAAAAAAAAAAAATCTCTGCCAAGTATTACACCACACCATCATAAAGGTGTAATGAAACTGCAGTGGAACCTCTATGTGAGATGGTTAATGACTACATTTCTTTCCAGAAGATAAGTTCTGATATTATTACTGTAAATGTCTCAAACAGGCATGCTTTAGTAACATTTTCAGTCACAACAATCAATCAAACTGTAAACAATTCAGTGTTCATATTAGCTTTAATTAACCTTTTACCCGTTAACTTGTTCTAAAATATTGGATCTAATGAAAAAAGAAGTCTTCTAATAAAATAAAATATTATTCTGTAACATTTTTCCTAAACAATGCATCTATTCTTCATAATGATTTATAAATGATTGACCCTTTTAGGCCTTTTGCTTAGTCTAATACCATGTTTACCATCAGAATGTTCACTCAGCAAGACACAAATTTGTGCAAATTATTGAACAATCATCTTTAGAGCTACATTTCCAGACAAATGCTTTCTTATTTCGCAAATAAATATCTTCCCCAGTGCTTCCCCGACATATACATCAAAAAATGAGACCCATTAAATATGACGACTCTTTTGATCACAAATAGATGGCACAAAAAAAGCAGCGATGAGAGAAATACAGAGACTTTTGACATTTAGTCATAAATATTCTTTGTGAACAGAATATAAATTTCTCCTGCTCCTTGAGGTGCAGATGTTGTCAGGTATGCAGTATATTCTGACCCTTCTTTTTCCTCTCCTGCTGCATTTTTGTTATAGTGCAGAGTCTGATATATAAACACTCACACTACCACTCAAACATGAAATATCTGGCATGCATGAAGAGTTCAGACTGCATCTGTACAACAAGTAAAACACAACTAACACAATCTACAAAAATAGAAGCGAGATACCATTACAATAATTCCTGTGCTCCAGTGAACCTCACTGAACACATCTTCTTTTAAACACAGAATACTTACATTAATAAATAATTACTAGTAATGGATTCATTGTATTGCAATGCATTTAAACCAGGTAAATATGAACTACAGCAGAAAGTGCACGAGTTCAGGCTTTAATTTAACACACCTAAACCAGCATTTCAAGGTTATTTGAAAACCACAGGCAGGTGTGTTAGAGCAGAGTATAGGAGCTAAATACAGATATCCAGGAATATCGCCCCCTGTATTAGCACATTAAAATGGTTCCAGACAGCGAATGTATTTACAAATGAGAAGTTGATATCTTGATGTGTAATGGGATTTCATAATGCTTAGAATGTATATTATAGCCTGCTTTGTTTGAGATAGTAAATAAAATTTAAAAAAAGTATTTAAGAGCATTCTTATTTCAGCCATCATTTTAAGTTTGTTTAAACAGTGTCCAATATTTAGATGGATCATATTTACAGATAAATGTTGCATTGAGGAGGCATTTTAAGAAAACAGACAGTCAACATCAATAATAATTTTTTGTTTATTTCACGTCTCATTTCTTGACTTGAAGAACGACAGGGCGCATGATGATGTTGTGACTGTCTGGCTGTTTAAGTACTGTTACTGTGGTGCTGGCCTGCTGCACACTGCGAGTAATGGGTCCTCCTACTCTCTCTCTCAACCTCAGAGACAAACGGTCCTCTCTTCTGGGCTGTATCTTTATATCGCCCACTCTCTGCTCCAATTTTCTACCTAAAGCATGTACCCGAACGCCTGGCTCCTGAGAGTTTACCTGAGCGACAGATGAGAGAACTATCTGCTTTGAAGCCAGCTGTGGCATAAAGCCACTCTTTAAAATAGGCTTGCCTTTTTTACTAGACTGAACCACAGATGTTGACAGAATGGTAGATCTTTTAAACCTAAAATCCTGAGTGGTATCAGCTGCTGCATTTTGCTTAATGATCTGATTCTTTGTTATTGTTTTTGGCCCGTGGTCTGACCCTTGTGGCTTTGCGCTCAAATTTGCAAGTTGTCTGCGAAGGCTCCCGTTGTTCTCCTGGGCTGAAACAATGCTGAGTGTTCTTTTTTTGGAGTTTCTACTGGCTGGTCTCATGGGGCAGCTAAAAGCTACGTGTTTCTTTAAACTGGCATTGTAAGTAAACTCTCTCCTACAGTGAGGACATGCAAAAATGCCCAGGTCATCATGAGCAAAGGCCTTTCTTCCCCCAGCAGGTCTACCCCTTTGCACCAGCTGAGATTTCTTCTTATTCAGGATACTCATTTTTATCTTAACTGGTGATTCGTGAAAGTTCATTTTTCTTGGTTGTCCGACCTTCTGAGAGAGATTCTGCTTGCTATTAACAATCCTTGCAGGTGATAACACCCTATTTTGCGCTTTTGCAAACTGCTTAAGTGGTATAGGGTTCTTTTTAGGAGTGTATCGCTTCTTGTCGCTAGCATTAGCACATGCTAAGATGTGCTTGTGCAGTTCAGGCATGTTGTCAAAGCTCTTACCACACTTGGTACAACGAATGGCTGTGCTGAAGGTCTGAGGGATGTTGTGGGTGGTAAAGTTGGTGGCCGATGCTGCTGTCGTCCCAGTTGGTGTCCGATTGTGGTATGGAAAAGGAGGCGGTTTAAAACTTGGATAATGTTGGTTAATGCCTAGACGTACATCTTGGCCTTTTGATTTGACCCCTCCTGATGCCATGATTTTTATTGTTGTGAACAGCTCCTCAGAAGTGTTGTCCAAGGCATCCTTCTCTTCTTTTGAGGTTGTGTTGTCAGATTCTTGCTTAATTTCTGTGATTGGAAGGCCTGGATCAGTAATGTCAGTTTTGGGACTGTTATGATTTTCAGGTCTTAACTTGCCATGTACTGCTTCGGTGTGTGAGCACTCTTGACCAGGATGGAGATCTCGCTGATGCTGTTCCAAGTTGCAGAGAAAGGCAAATTCCTTAGAACATGTTTTACAAACATAAATTTTACCAATGCCATGATAACTGGATCGGTGCTCCAGCAAACCTGTGTCACTCTCGAACAACTGCACACAAAATTCACATTTATAGGGCCACTCTTTTGAGTGCTCAACTACATGTTGACTAAGAATCTTCATGGACTGGAAGGGCTGTTCACAAACATTGCACATGAAGTTCTTGCAAAAAGGATGCAAGGGAGATAATTCTTCTTCAACTTTGTTTTCCTGCTTAGAAAAATCAGAGGACTGGATATTTTCCTGTCCATTCTCATTGCTCTCTGCCTCAACAACATTGGTGGAAGCAGTGAGAGTCAATGTACCATCTGTATAACTTTTTGACTGCTCTGTAGATGCCAACTGTGTGGAGGTTTCAGGCAGTAGGGTGGTGTCAGGACTGCGAGGTTGTGGCTCAGATGGGACATAAGGTTCTTGCTGTAATGCTTCGACAGGAATTTGATCTGAGAGACATTGAGCAGAATTATGTTGGAGAGCTGGAAGAATATTTTCTGTAGATTGCACTGCAACTGTATACTCTATAACAACAGTGTTTGGAGGAAAAGCCAAGGACCTGACGCTGGACTGGTTAACAGGCAGAGATGGAGAAGATATCTGTGCATCAGAAGCTAACACAGAGTCTACAACCAATGTCCTTTGAGCTAGTTCACATACAGAAGGATCAGCAACCCAGTGAGAGCTTTGTAAACTTAGTGAAGGGATTGCAGGTATAAGGGTTTCCAGACCTCCAGGAAGAGAGGACCCCCAGTCAGGGATTGTCATTTTCAAATCACCCTGTGAAAGATGTACAGGATTATCAACACAGTCTTCTACAGACCCTGTGGGTCGTTCATTGTCAGTTACCACGAAGGCTGAATGAAGAGTTTGAATGTCCTGAGTGGGTTCCATTGTGGGAGTCGATAGAAAGGATACAAAAGTTGGAGACGAAGAAGGTGAACACTGAGGTGAAGGGACTGGGGTAGCTGGATGGATACTGACAGGAGCGAGCAGTGGAGGGGTTGGATTGATTGAAGCAGGAGGAAGAGCCAACTCAAACAAAAACTTTTCAGGTTTTGGTGGACCTGCATCAGACACTGCCACAACTGCAAGGTTTGTTATGTCAGGAACACTGAGGACACCTGCAGTAGCTGGAGCTTCAGCAGAAGGAATGTCTACCCCACCATAATCATTCATAAGTACCTTCTGAAGCATACTAGAGTTAGGTTTACTCTTCCTTAAAGCAGGCTGAGTCAGGTAGACTCCAGCTGAGTCACAGTCTAAACTCTTTCCACTAATACTTAAGTCCAGAATGGACTCTGCTAAGGCATCGCTGCTCTCTCGCTTAACCACAGAATTTGAGAGGTCCAGTGGCTGTTGATTACAGGAGTTTCCACCAGTTCTTGATACAGAGCAGTCCAACGGCAAGATCTGTTGCTGCATTGGAGCTCCATCAGAGCTGTTAATGGGTGAATTCAAAGGCTCAGGTTCTTCATTGCCCAAGAGGCTCAACCCATGGCTCTCCAACTTTGACTTCTTGGCGTTTGTAGAATCCTGATCTTGCTTTTCTATATTCACATCAGGGGTTTGCTGTGGTGAGCTGGGAGGGGAGGTTGTCCTTCTCTTAAATCTAGTTGTTGTTGCAGGTAAAACAGTCAGGGATATGGGAGGACCCAGTTTGTGGTCATCAGCAATCAGTGCAAATGCTGGTTTACTGCCATCCTGATTCCGAAGGATCTGCTTGAGTTTGGGAGACAGATAGATAGTTTTTTCCTTGTGAAAGGCAAATGTCTCAATGCACTGAGGTAAATGAGCAGTGACCAGCGGAGTTCCAGATGTAGAGGACAGTGTCAAGGATGACCAGGAAGATGAGGAGGTACTCAAGATGGATTCAGACTCTAATTCTGTTTTTATTTGTGGGAGTAAAGGTGGGGTAGACGTCCTACGTCTGGTTGAGGACTGCTCAGACAGGTCAGAGGTAAAACTGCTGGATTTGGTTTCTAATTTAAGAGTTTGTGTAATTTGAGCTGGACTGATTATAACAGCATTTAATCCAATCACAGCAGAACCACCAGAGTTCATCTCAATCACCTCACAGTTACTTACAGCACTTGTTGAGACAATTTTCCCATCTATGTAGAAGCTAAGATTCTCTGAAATGTTACTGGAGATGTCAACTATGTACTCCCTTTCCTGATCAATGTCCTCTGCACACTGTGAGATAGCAGTATGGTTGTCCTGTACCGTCTCAACAAGCTGCTGTCCTTCAGGTTCTTCAATGATTTTGACCTTCTTATAAACTCCTCTAGGAAGAAGATGGTGCTCATGGATCCTGCGCTGATGTCTCCTTAGACTAGTGTAAGTACTAAATGCTTTTTTGCAGTACTTGCAGACATATGATGATTTGACATCACTGTTTTTATTATCCTTTTGTTCACCATCAGCTGCATTAATGCACTTGTTTGACTCTGGGTTCTGTGATGCCGTTTTCAGAGGTTCAGCACTGCCAGGCACATTCTGACTGGCAGTGCAAGGGACACCTGTGAGATCATCTGTCTTTCTATTTCTATTTTCATGTCTTTTCTCATGCCTCCGACGACTAAACAATGTACTGAAAGTTCTTCTGCAGCGACTGCATTTAAACCGTTGTGTGTGGCAAGTTGAAATAGCATGTGTTTGTATGTGACGCTGTAGGCCTTGACTACTCACAAACCTTCTCTCACAGTGAGGACAGGGTAATTCACCCTGGGGTTTACTACCCGGGCCAAGGTCACCCTTAGTGTCATTTAAAGGTAACTCAGTCCCATAATCCTGTTTTATCATTACAGCATGCTCAATCTTACTTGTCTGACAGGCTTGATTTTGATTAACTAGATTTTGGGACACAGGCTGGCTTGCATTCTGTTTGTCTTTGCAGTCCATCTTCACATCTGTTCCTCCTTCTATCCCTTTTTCTATCTCTCCCCCTTCTGGCTCCGAGATGCTATGAAGTGCCATTTCATCAGAGTGGGCATCTTGAACCTCGGGCTGCTGGAGAAAAACCTCTGATGGCATTCTAGGCCTCTCCTCTTCCACAACTGAAACATATGAACATGCCTGTGACACAATGAAGAATTTTTATTTGCTAAAATAATAAGTATTAATATTATATTACACCCCTTATAATACCCATTATATTACACCCATTATAATTGGTACAATGCAATATTGTCCAACATATGTCTAATACATTTCTAAATCTACAAAATGAAGAGAAAAAAAAACTTACTTTCATCTGATCTCCACATCTCTTAACTTCCTCTCTAATGCTTCTTCTGGGGTATGTAAAAGAGGCCCACTGTTGGCTGAGGGGAAAATAAATTTTTATATTGTAATTTTAGAATTAAGCACTCAAAGACAGCTCTAACTTAAAAATAACAAAGCATAAGGGATATCTCTATTAAAATTACACAGTTTTGTTTATTAGAATTTGTTTGCGTGCAAGATAATTAACCAATTGGGTGACAAAGAGTGCAGTTGCTGATTCATGGCACGCTGCAATGTCATCTTAAACTAACCCAGGACAAACTCATACACATAACTGCAATCTAATTACTTATTTTCATGTCTGAAAATGAGTAAACAAAGGTTAATGAATTAATATTTACATTACATTATAAAGTTAAATAAATAAATAATAAAGCATACTTCTTCCAAGAACACTTACTCTGCCCTTCAACATAAAATGATCAATAATGCAACATATTCATGCAAAAGAAAAACATTAAAATTTTATTGGGGAAATGATTGTTGTAATATGGTTGTTTATCAGTTTAACCAATTTAAAATAAGCTAGGGTGAAATTGTTTTAAATTATTGTAAATGTCCACTGTCATCATGAGGTTACAATAGAAGTCTTGTTTTATGATTTGATTTGTGATCATGTTAATGGATATAAAATGACAGGTAAAACATCCAACATGTTTTCAGTTGGTGTTACAACCTACCCCACACTAAAATAAACATTTGAGGATTAAACACAAAAGAAAGTGAGCACCTGTGGTTCATTTGTAGTCCACCTGTAAGACTGTGGAGGTGTGGGTGGGGTCAGATAAACTTGCCTAAGCTAATAATATTAAATAATCTCATTTTACAGACGCCTCTTATAGGGTCACAGAGCGTCCTAATGCAGCAAACTGACAACTTATCAACACAATAGCAACAGGACCAGGCACAAGTCATTGTCTGCAATGCTCAAGAAATAACGTAATGCACCCATAACTGCCGCATTCCCGCTGTACATATGCGGACAATCGATTTACCATGCAGCGGCTGTTTATAATGTCAGGTCTATTTGGATTTAAGCATGTGCGCAAATAATTACGCACTTACACAATAAATTCATGGTATCAGCGAATAGATTAAACTGTTTAAAGTGTGCAAACATGTCTATTGTACAGTCAGGGCGCACATGTTGCGGGTGTCTGACAGCCCTTTAAATAAGACAAACCCCGTTTGGCACTGTCGCTAAGCGCAGACAAGAAGGTCACTGGCAGCGACACGCTTCACGTTAAAGTGCTTCGACATGCATTTAGTTAGTGCTCCTATATATCTCTGTGATTTTTACGACGTAATTACGTGCAAAAATAATTTAAAAAATACATACATGGGTAGTCTCAGTGCTAACTCTCAGACAACATAAATAAGACTGACATCGCAAAGCTTCGGAGAGCCACTTTATGCCACATGATTTTGATTAGGTATGCCCTTTGGGCTCCGCATTAAATTAGCTATACCTGTGAACTGCTTACCAGCTTTGTTGTGACGCCTCGCTGCTTTTGTTGTGACGCCTCGCTGCTTGAGTCTGGTGGGCACGCGCAGGACGCTCGCTACTGCAGACTGCACTGATGACAAGGCGCATGTGCGAGATCTCATGCACCTGTAGTTACATGAAATATTAGGCTACACGTAAAGCACAGGGACAACAGATTAAAGATTTTCTTTAACTGCATGCACTCAAATATTTTCAGGGAGGATGTTTTATTGACTAGAGATCTAGAAAGTATATTTTGTTTGGAATACTGTTGTATGATAAGGTAAACGATTTTGTTTTTCCACTTATAAATTTAAATGCATGTAAAAGTTTATATTAGTAATATTACCTCAAAGAGAAACAACAAACTCATCAATATTATCCAGGTATTGAATCTAATAGATTGTCATTAATAAATATTATTAATGTTTTAAGCATATAATTTATATAATTACATATTAGTATAGCCTATTTGTTGTACATTTGTTTGTTTGTATATAAATATATTGTTTCATTATTCTTTTATATAAATAGTAAAAATGGCATCTAGGCCTACACAATAGGAAACCTTTTATGCAAATTGGGCAAATGCATTCCAAATTAGACAACACCCACGATTTGCTGGTGTGTTTTCATCATCCACTGTGTCACATGACAGCCTCACTGTAGAGAGTAGACAATAGATTTCTGCAGAAACAAAGCACACTTCCAGCTAACAAAAATATGTTCTAAGAACGTTTTGCTAACGTTCTCGTTCAAAAAGTCCAGTTTGTAAAAGATTTATTATTATTATTATTATTATTATTCCAAAACAGTTTTTTTCTGCTTATGAGAATGTTAAAGGAACATTCAATTTGATCATTTTGCAAACATTATAGGAGTGTTGCTCTTGAATGTTCTCTGAAACAAGAACAAAAATGTTTCAAATATCGTTCCATGAACGATGTATAAATAATAATCCTTATAATTAATAATAATAATAATAATATAATTAATGTTTTTACTGTTTTGAGAACATTATTAAAGGTCATATAACTTTGAACGAACATTCTATCAATGTTACTAAAAGAACTTCACAAGCCAGGACGTTAGCCAAAGTTCTGAGTTCTTTAAATGTAAGTTCTTTAAATGTAAAGTTATATATAAAGGTTTTACTCAAAGAAGAGCAAAGGGGCACGGTGTTTTATTGCCAGTATGTGTGTGTTCATGTTTATATATAGAAATTCAGAAAAAATAAAATCAAATTTATAATCAATGCCTTAATGGTAAATATCAGCAGTCTGTCCAGTTCCAAAACCCACTTTCCTGTAGTTATTATGAGTGACAACTAGAGGCCGCAGTGTCCCAATTTGTACAGATGTGAGATTCTGCGCTGAAAAAGTGATGCGTTAATCGAGAGCTCGCATTTTGTCTCCATAACTAGGGATATGCTCACTACAATATGTTTGAGAGGCTATTAAGAGAGACATAAGAGAAGCCACTGGATTACTCCTCAAACTGACATCTGATGTGTGTGTTGGTGTACGTTTATGCATGTGATTGTTTCTGTCAACAAGTAGGACCCTGGGTCACATTTTTGTCTAAAGAGCAGTGAGATACGTAAGTCTGCAGCAGGCACAGCTCCAGATATGAGATGAATGGTGCTGGGCCAAGTGATATTCCAGGTGGGCCGGGGTATGTGGGGTGGGGCTGTAGTTGGGAGCATAACAAAAATGGAGTTACATTAACTATAGTTGGTATAGTGTTTGGTTGTTCACTGATTACATTACTTGCCCTCTGTGGCACCCCCCAAGTGGAGCCAGGCTTGAGTTGTGAAATCACAGGACTTATGCGAGCACATGGGCCATCTGTGGAATGTATAAGCCTGCTTTTGGTATCTGTGGTCAGCAGGCTTCTGTTCTATTCAACATTCACCCATTATAGAACTGTCACATTACTCTGCATTAATCTTCACCTACTCATCCTTCATCTGCGGGTTGTCCCACTCTTATTCTATCATCTGCCTTCCACCCTCAGACTCTCACCATCATACTGAACATTCTTTTACATTAGAATGTGTTTGTGTAAGCGTGAGCCAACAGCATGTTCCATGCATATTCTCTCACATGTTACTGAGTGAGATCATGTGTGACCTCAACGCCCATGGCTATGGATACTGTACTGAGCTTTAAAAAAAAAAAAGCATCACAGTATCAGCCCTCTATCACTTTCATTTTATTTCATTGCTCAGAAGATTTTAGTTCTTCACATAGAAAATAAAACGGTTTCTTTATGCAGAATTGAGTTATGTAGAGTTAAACCGAATGATTAATCTATTATAGATACTGCTTATTTAAATACAACCCACAAATTGCTTCAAAGTCTCTCTCTGTGTGTCTCTCACACACATGCAACACAATGAAAGTACATTTCTTTCAACATAAATCAAATAACAGGAAAATGCTCAAAACAATTTCACAAGAGTGAAAATCTGAGAACTGAGTGTTCACCATTTTCTCGCTATTACCTATGAGCACTAGCAATTACCCATTAGCCCCAAATTTTCTCATAAAACCTCATAATTACCCATCAACCCTTATAAATACTCTGTATACTCACTTTACGTCATCACTGACCATATTTAGTTATTTTATTTATTTGATAAGCCTGACTCAAAAATGTGTGGAATAAAGCGAGATATTTCTTTAATCTGTGAAATGGCAGGTTTCAGCCAGATTCCATCTGCATGTCCATTGATTTCCAACATAGCAGTGAAGTTGTGAGAAATCTTGTGTGCGGAAATACACAGCGCTGATTAATTTGAAAGATAATGACTGCATCCTAGATCAGAACAGAGATTGTAAAATCATTGTGGCACCAAAGGGAATTGCAAAAATAACAATTGCTTTTTTTTTCTTTACAAAACTAGTTATTTTGGATTATTAGTAAATTATCTCCAGAAAAACAAGAGGATGACTTGCCATGACTTGTAATATGGTATTTTATACAGTACATATAAATACAATTTACATAAATGAAGTGTTCTCCATTAGATGTTGCTTACTTTTTATAGATTTTTTTTTGCAAAGACTGTCACGGGATAAACATTGTGGTTACATGGGGTTTTGTGCATAGATGGCTAAAGAGTCTGTCTTGAACAAATAGTTTTTGCCCATTATTTCTTTTAACCATTTCATTCATGTGCTGAAAATACAGACATGAACGCAGAACAATCTACAGGACACATATCTATGCGGTAGATGCATGTTTGTGCCAACTACTGACCATTGCCTCACACACATACATAGACGCACTAAACAATGGGCACTTCTGAGCTGCCATTAGTGTCACACATACACAATGCATGTTCCGTCCACATGGCACAAAGAACTGCTTAACAAAAGAGAGGGAGCAAGACATACATATCACAGAACACCAGATGTGAACTAAACAGCCTCCATCCTGACACCCACCCAACACACACACACACACAAACATGCTAACACATCCACACACACCCAACGTTCAGCTGTCCAATAAATTCAAATGTCAGCCTGGCTCCTGAGATCAACATCTCATGTACTATACTTTTAGATGGCATTTAACACCATACACACACACATATATATATGAATGTAGAACCCTTTAATCTGAATGATTACATTTGCACACACATATGTTAAATTTACACATTCACACATATACATGAAGATCATTGTTCCTGATGTCTGAGCTGCTTCCTAACTTCATCTGCACTCTTCCATTAGACTGTTCAGACCAGAACACACAGAACAGTGCATTAACACGTGTGTATGTGAGAGAGAGAAAAGTCTCTGACCTTGTGTGAGCTGTAGATTATTTGTGTGTGAATCAGAATCAGAATCAGAATCAGAATGAGCTTTGTTGCCAGGTATGTTTACACATACGAGGAATTTGTTTTCGTGACAGAAGCTTCCACAGTGTAACAGAATGACAGTGACAGAACAAAAAACACATATAATAAAAAATAAAAAAATAGAACAAGTAAATAATAAAAATAAGGAATAAAAATATATAAATTGACAATTGTATGTGAAGGTATATTACAATGGACAGTTTTGTATATACAGGTACTGTATATTTCTTTTAGACTTTTCCACACTGATGCGGAGTCACTTTGCCACTCTGATCTCCTTTTCCAGTGTGACAAGTGTAATAGCAGACAAGTGTAAAATAAATGTTCACCAGATTGGACCATCAGTGAAGATTGTAAAGATGGAGCCTTTTTTTTCTCTGTAGAAATCTCTGAGAACCAGATAATGAAAAAGCTCCATTTAACTCATTGCTGTTCATTTTACACTCATTACAGTCCAGGAGAAATAACTTTGATACAGTGATTTTTCTCTACTATAGACAAATGAGATCCTCACAATAACCATCCAACAAATATATGTTTTATATAAGAAAATTGATTTATTTAAAATTGATTGATTTATTTATTTGTGATTTTTACCAAAGTCACAGAGAGAAATGACACAAGAGAATGTTTACAGTTTTTCTGAATTGCTAAAACACATTTCTTGAAACCATCACTTATTTTCTCAAAACCTTAAACACAAATCCAAACCTTCAAACTAAATTCACAGAACCGCTGACTCTTCTGGCAAAATCAAGCAATCGCTTCAAAACCATTTCACCTGTACTCCAAATCAAAGAAAGTTTTTAAATCATACACACATTAGTCAATAATATACACACTACAGATCATTCATTAGACACTACATCAGAAAATAGAGAACACAGTGTCCAGTGCATGTAGTTACAAAAAAAACTGTTTATTGTATTTAGTAAATATTTTGCAATAAACACAAACACACACACACACACACACACACACACACACAGAGAGTGTGTGTGTGTGTGTGTGAAAAAGAATCAGAGGACTTCATCTACATCGCAGGCAGGCAACAGGGGGAAAAAACCCTCTAGTGTGGCAGATCCAGCCTTGACAAGACGGCACGTTTGATGTATGTCACCACAGGCCAGTTCTTCCACCCTAACGTGGTA